GCGAATCCAGACCATAAGGATTCATGTCTATTATAACAGAAAACGAGACACAGGCATACGAAGAGGAAGCGCAATGGAATGTCCGCAATAGCAATAAAAACAGAATCCTTTTCGATTAAACTAGAATATCAGTGGTTTTCAAACTCTTTTTTTTCATACGCTGCCATTGTAAGGGAAATATAATTATTAGTTGTTTGATAATAATTATGATAAAGCTGGAGATGAGAATGAGGATGCGGACGAGGAGGAGGAGGAGGAGGACGAGGAGGAGGAAGAAGGGGAAGAGAAGGAGGAAAAGGAAGAGGAAGAGTCAAAAGAAAAGGAAAAGGAAGAGGACGAGGACGAAGAAGGCGAAGACAAAGGCGAAGACAATGATGATGATGAAGACGATGATGATGATGATGATGTTGATGATGATGATGATTATAATGGTAATGATAATGATAATGATAGTGAAAAAAGTTGCATTAAACAGTTTACCACACTCCTAAGTGACATCACAGATTCGAATTATATTCTAGGCTGACGATGGTGATTTCCAGAAAGAAAGAAACAAGCAAACAATCAAACAAAAAAACAACAACAACAACGCTATATGACATTCAGATATTCCATAGTGAAAAGGAGATTATGCAGTATGGCTCTGACCATTATAGAATTTGTATAATTTTGCTTTGTAGTCATGGAACATTTTGTAATTATACATTTCTCTTTAAAGACAATTGGTCCGAATGAGAAAATAAAGATTCACTCAAAGCCGAATTACATCTATACAAGTACCTATATAGATGTAAATCTAGTTACGGTTGAGTGTTAAAGTATAGTTTTGGAATCAGAGATGAATAAATATAGGGTTACATACTAAAGTATAGTTTTGGAATCAGAGATGAATAAATATAGGGTTACATACTAAGCTAGAAATACACAAGGAAACACTGCTCTCACTAAACCAGCAAGTGCAACTTTGATCTTAAAGAAAAAAAACAAAAAACAAAAAAAATAGATGCTGATACTCCTCGCTTCTTCCCATCTAAACACCGAATAACGGTCACGAGGAATACCCGCACTTTTCTTGTCTTATAACCCGTAAGTGTACTTTCTTGGTGAGTACTAACTTCTAACTTCGTATTAGTTTTCAAAAAAGGTCAGTTCTTGCACCAGAAAACTGAGAGGAGCTGGGTCTTCGCTCCAGAGGCCCGATCTGCTTTTATGGTCTTCGTATGCAAATAGTGGTACACAGTGGATAGTTCTCAAGGACTGCAGGACATTAACCCTTTCGTGTTCACTCGTATTTGGATATAATGTCTTTATTTTTTTTTAGGTGCGTAAATATCTATATAAGTGTATGTTGCACGCAAAATATATGTATAAACACAATTACGCACACAAATATATACATTCATATACGGAAATATGTATAAACGCATTTGTATATAGACAGATAGATAGATATGTAGAGCTATGCATATATATGTGTACACACACACACACACACACACACACACACACACACACACACACACACACACACACACACACACACACACACACACATATATATATATATATGTATACATACATACATACATACATATATATATATATATATATGTATACATACATACATATATATATATATATATATATATACACATATATGTATTTGTGTGTGTATGCATGTATGTATCTAAATATTACATATATAATTAGACACATGCAAATATATGGTACTGCTACTATACCCAATATACCTAGAGAGCGCACATGACCTGCATGCAGTCTCCCTTTCCTTAAAAGCGAATCACAACCCCGGCCGCTCCCACACGCACCAGCTGTTTTCTGTCTCTTAACTTTTAACATCGGATCTAGTTTCTGCACCATTTTCTTGCCCAGTGTTATTTTAGACAATAGAAAAGGAAAGGATTTCTTGAAATGCACATTCCCTCTCAAGATGGAAAACACGAAAAAGAATGAATTCTTGGATATTACGGTTATATATATGTATATATATGTACACACACACACACACACACACACACACACACACACACACACACACACATATATACATATATATATAAAGATGCTTTCAACTTTAAGAAAAACTAAGTCCATCTCGTAAAAAGGAAAACAAAAATAATACTTTTCTCCCCTTTTCCGAGCACCTTTATTCTTCCATTCATTCAGCTCTTACTTACACAGCCCTCCGACGCTAAAACGGACGGTCGCAAGAAACATCCGTTATATGATTGGCCTCCAACGATATAGTTATATATAAAGGAGAGCTTGCCTTCAGATTCCATCTCTGAGAGAATTCTGTAATACATGCGCCCCATAAAAGAGTCAAATAAACAGTTTCTATTGGCGATATTTTCAGCTTCCCGACGCAAAAGTCTTGCGTCATATTGGGATCCTGAAGGAGAGAGAATCCTGTATTAGAGATACACAAGCTCCTCATATGGCAACACTCCTCCCACCCGTCTGATATATGGAGTTGTTT